GCTGTCCCTCAGCTCTTCAGCTCAAGGCTAGCACTCTACCACTTGAGCCACAGCACCACTTCCGGCTTTTTTCTTTTTGCTTATGTGGTGCTGAGGAATCGAACCCAGGGCCTCAGGCATGCAAGGCAAGCACTCTACCACTGAGCCACCTTCCCAGCCCCTACAGCCCTTTTCTTATGCTCCTTTAGCTGTGAGAGTTTTTCAGAGTTCCCTAGATTTTACAACCTTGAAGTACCTAATATGAGAGATTTGCTAACGGTTTTCTCATGATTTCCTGGAGTTGTGGTTTGCATTCTATGATAAATATTTTCAATGTTATTATATAGTCCATTTTCTATGTTACTGGATTTGGTTTGTTAGTATCTTCTGGAGGAGTTTTGCTTTTTATGTTTATAATGATTAGTGGCCCATAATTTTGCTTCTGGTTTTGTCATTGGCATGATAACCAAGTGAACTGGTCTCATAGAATCAATTGTTATGATAATTTGTATTTGTCATCCTTTAAAATTCTTGATGATGATATTTAATCCATATTGTGATAATATTAAATAAGATATGAGGCTCACTGGGTGTTAGAGCTTGGGTTGTTTCATCCTACCTTTATGAATGAGATCACTTGTCTTAATATAAGCAGATTGAAAGCAAAAAAGCAAAGCCCTAGATTCTACCCCCCAGCACCACAAGGGAAAGAAGACAATAGCAAAGATTAGTGTAGATGAAGAGAAATAGGAACTCTATTTCTGTTGGGAATTTAAAATGCTAAAGTCATTTTAGAAAACATTCTGGAATTTTCCCTAAATATTAATCACATAGTTACCATATGACTCATCAGATGTCCTCACCTACTCGTTCACAGAAGCATTAGTCACAATAGTCCTAAAGTAGAAATAACCAGATACCCATCAGCTGATGAGTAGAGAAACAAAACAGTAAATGCAGACAATGGAATATTATTTAACCATAAAAAGAAATGAAGTGCTGGTACATGCTTTACATGCATAAATCCTGGAAGTATAATGCTAAATGAAAGAAACTAGTTTAAAAAAAATAGTGAATAAAGTTGTTTGAACCTCAACAGTTTTTATGTCACTGCTAGGATTTATATAAAACCTTTTCAACATGTTTCAGATGATGTCACTGCAGAATGTTGGAGACAATAGCAGCATTTCACTATGAGATTACTGGAAACAACTGATTAGAGCCAGAAGCCTTGGCTTGCAATGAGATGGCTGTGATCTCCATTCCTCAGGTTTTGAGGAGAGTTGCGGTTCAGCAGCTCAGCCTAAGAAGAGGCTATCTCAAGAGGATGATCAGTCCTAAGGAGCCATAGCTACCATCAATTTGGATTTTTTTTTTCCAGTCCTGGGGCTTAAACTCAGGGCCTGGGCACTGTCCTTGAGCCACTTTTTGATTAAGGCTAGCATTCTACCACTTGAGCCACAGTGCTTTTCTGTTTGTGTGGTACTGAGGAATTGAACTCAGGGCTTCATGCATGCTAGGAAAGCACTCTACCACTAAGCCACACTCCCAGCCTCAATTTAGAATTTTAAACCATACATAACTTCAATGTTTACAGAAGCCTACTCACCCTCTCTCAGGCCATCCTTAACATGTATAAGCTGTGTTTAGCAGCTTTTTGTCTAGTAAAGCATATTCCATGGCACATTTAAACTGCCCAACATGAACTTCTATACCATTTAATACATTTTGATTTAGAAATTATTTTATTTATTTATTTATTTTTGTCAGTTGTGGGGCCTGAACTCTGGGCCTGGGCACTGTCCCTCAGCTCTTCAGCTCAAGGCTAGTGCTCTACCACTTGAGCCACAGTGCCACTTCTGGTTTTTTCTGCTTATGTGGAGCTGAGGAATCGAACCCAGAGCCTCATACATGAAAGGCAAGCACTCTACCACTGAGCCACCTTCCCAACCCTTGACTTATAAACTTTTTAAAAACCACATGGTACTTGATTCCATTTATATGAATTATCCAGGATTAGCAGTCTTGTCTTTTCATTTCTTTCTTTCTTTCCTTCCTTCCCTTTCTTTCTTTCTTTCTCTTTTTCTTTTTTCTTTTTGTCAGTTGTCGGGCTTAAACTCTGGGCCTGGGTGCTGTCCCTCAGCTCTTCAGCTCAAGGCTAGCACTCTACCGCTTGAGCCACAGCGCCACTTTGCTTATGTGGTGCTGAGGAATCAAACCCAGGGCCTCAGGCATGCAAGGCAAGCACTCTACCACTGAGCCACCTTCCCAGCCCAGTCTGTGAAACTATTATCTCCAATAAACAACCAGAAAACTGGAAGTGGCACTTGAGCTGAAGAGCCGAGAGACAGTGTTAAGGCTCAGAGTTCAAGCCCCATGACCGACAAAAAAAAAAAAAAAAAAGGACTTTCTTGCCCGAACTGACTTTGAACTGCAATCCTTAGATCTCAGCCTCCTAAGTAGTAATCTACAGAGACAGAAAGGAAAGGAAGAGAGGAAGAGTTATATCTCAGGAAGGAGCACAGAGCATTTTTAGTATAAGTCCAAAAGTAGACAAGTAAGAAAATCAGTGCCATTATCAGTAGGAGATATAAGAGTGGAAAATAAAGCCCAGGTTGCTGGCCTTAGCCACTGTCATAAATTCAGGTAGGAAACACAGTAAGCAAGCAGGTCTGACTAGTCAGCCATCCTAACCTACCCTGACTAGCCAGCCGCTCTGCTATTCCTTCTGCTTCTCCTTCTGCTTCTGCTATTCCTTCTGCTTCTCCAGGACTTCACATAGCTCCTAATATTAGTCAGGAGTCTTGGTGGCCTGGGACAAAACCCCACTGGACAGCAGAGTTTTGAAATGACAACCAGGGACTGTCCCTTAAATCTACTTTATTCACTAGCATTTCCTAGTTCGTGTGATTGCTCTTCACGAGGTACTTTGTGAGAATTTTCAACCTTTTTCCTTCCCACAGCTGTGCAGAGGTTCAGCTCCCCCTAGTGACATAATCCCTCCACAACTTTTCTCAGTCATCAGAGATTTTGAGAGCTTCAAATCCATTCATTAACTTAGCTGCTCAGTACCAGAACTTTCTCTAAGTTTGATATTTGAACAATTTATTTATTTTTTTGGGTCCGGTCATGGGGTCTGAACTCTGGGCCTGAGCGCTGTCCCTCAGCTCTTCAGCTCAAGGCTAGCACTCTACCACTTCTGGCTTTTTTTCCCTGCTTATGTGGTGCTGAGGAATCGAACCCAGGGCCTCAGGCATGCAAGGCAAGTGCTCTACCACTGAGCCACCTTCCCAGCCCTGATATTTGAACAATTTTACATCATTTTTTTTGTCAGTCATGGAGTTTAAACTCAGGGTCTGGGTACTGCTCCTGAGCTCTTTTGCTCAAGGCTAGCATTCTACCACTTTGAGCCACAATGCCACTAGTGGTTTTCTGGTGGTTAATTAAGAGATACAAGTCTCACAGACTTTAATGCCTTAGAGTTAGGTCTAAAACTGAGACTTAAACTCAGTATCTGATGCTTCCACTCACTGGTTGGCACTCTACCAACTGAGGCATATATCCAATCCTCAAAAGAGACTCTTCATGGTTCTTAAGTAACTACTTATTATTTCAGTGTTCAATTTTAAAAATAATTTTTGGTAGCTGGGCGCTGGTGGCTCACACCTGTAATCCTAGCTACTCAGGAGGCTGAGATCTGAGGATCGCGGTTCAAAGCCAGCCGGGGCAGGAGAGACTGTGAGACTCCTATCTCCAATAAACCACCAGAAAACCGGAAGTGGCGCTGTGGCTCAAGTGGTAGAGCATTCGCCTTGAGCTGAAGAGCTGAGGGACAGCGCCCAGGCCCAGAGTTCAAGCCCCACGGCCAACCAAAAAAATAAAGAAAAAATAATTTTTGGCTTAAGTTAATTACTTTAAAATTGAATTTCAATTGCAAAGGTTTAAAAACTTATTTTTAAGCCAAGCACCAATGTCTCACACTACTTGTAACCTCAGTGAGCCACGGCTCCACTTCCAGCTTTTTGCTGGTTATTGGAGATAAGAGTCTCATGGACTTTTCTGCATTGGATGGCTTCAAACTGCAATCCTCAGATCTCAGTAGCTAGTACTACAGGTGTGAACAACCAGTACCTGGCCCAGTTTTTGTTTTTGTTTTTTGAAATAGCGTCTTCTTACATTGCCTCAGCTGGCCTTGATTTCCTGGGCTCAGACAATCCTTTGTCAGCCTCCTGAGTAGCCCACTAGTAAGGCAGACAGGAATCCTGTTTTATGCAAATTTTTATGCCCAATCCCTAGTTCAACACACTCTTAATAATGCCTAATAGTTTTTTTTTGTTTGTTTGTTTGTTTTGGTCCAGTCGTGGGGCCTGAACTCTGGGCCTGGGCGCTGTCCCTTAGCTCTTCAGCTCAAGGCTAGCGCTCTACCATTTGAGCCACAGCACCACTTCCGGCTTTTTTTTTCCTGCTTATGTGGTGCTGAGGAATCGAACCCAGGACCTCATGCATGCAAGGCGAGTACTCTACCACTGAGCCACCTTCCCAGCCCTGCCTAGTAGTTTTTGATAAGTTGTTCATCATCATCATTATCATAAAATAATCTAGAACAACCCTTTAAAATAATTTGGACTAGAATTGAATAGTGAAGGTGTTAATATGATGGTAACATTTTTATCTATTTTAATCCTAGAGTAATGTTTATATTAGTTTGCCAGAACATACAGAGTTATGATTGTATATGGTTGGTAGTTGAGCTATGTTGATATACCATGGGTTGGCTTCCAAAGGTATATGTGGTGTGTTCCAGGACACCTGTGTTCACACTATCAGCTCTTTGGAACTATATTTGGATGTACAAGCTATTAAAAGCTTCGTGTACAGAGTGACCTTTCGGGCTGAACACTCAGACTGCTGCTGCCTGTTGCTGAGTGGAAACAGCAGAAAAAACTGGATCCTGATATTTATTGGGTCTTTGCTTTAATTTTACTTTTACTTTTTGTTTCCTTTCATTTTTCCTTAAGAAGATGAACAGTGAAACCACAACTCTGATATCCTTGAAGGAGGCAATGAAAAGGTTGCTGAAAGATACTGGGTGGGAACAAGCCTGGGAAGGGGATATTCTCAGAAGATGGGGAAGAATGAAGATTGGAAATAAGCAAAGAACTAGACATATACTAATTCAAACTGTCTCTGTTAGAGCGGTTGAAGTCTTCCAGCCTCAAAAATATGTAAATTAATTTTAAAATCTGGAGGTTTGGGATTTAACTCAGTGGTAGAATGCTTGCCTAGCATGTGAGTATGATCCTTGGGTACAATCCTTCAAATTAAAAAAAAATTAAAGCATGGGCTGGAAAGGTGGCTCAGTGGTAGAGTGCTTGCTGTGTATGCATGAGGCCCTGGGTTCGATTCCTCAGCACCACATAAGCAGGGAAAAAAAGCCAGAAGTGGTAGAGTGCTAGCCTTGAGCTGAAGAGCTGAGGGAGAGCACCCAGGCCCAAAGTTCAGACCCCACGACCAGATTAAAAAAAAAAAAGAAAAAAGAAAAAAAATTAAAGAAACCAGAAACAATCTCATAGGTGCTATGCTTTCATCAATTCATGTTTATACTAAAAGCTAGATACACAAAAATATTTAAAATGTGGTTTATGCTGTCAAGCTACAGATAATCTATATTGATATAGTCTTAAAGGTCTAAAAGATAATAAAAGCTGTATGTTAGATGACACAAGAGGGTTTTTTTGTTTTTGTTTTGCCAGTCCTGGGGCTTGAACTCAGGGCCCTGGCACTGTCCCTGAGCTTCTTTTGCTCAAGGCTAGCACTTTACCACTTGAGCCATAGCGCCACTTCCAGCCTTTTCTGTTTATGCGATACTGAGGAATCGAATTCAGGGCTTCATGCATGCTAGGCAAGCACTCTACCACTAAGCCAAATTCCCAGCCCCAGATAACACAGTTTTGACTTATTAGGGGTGGGGGAGATGTCAGTACCAGGGTTCCAATTCAGGGCCTCAAGCTTGAACAATTTTGCTTACGCATAGCTAGTATTTTACCACTTGAGCAATACCTCCAGCCCAGCTTTCTGCTGGCTAATTAGAGATGGAGTCTCACTGACCTTTCTGCCTAGGATGGATTTGAACTGCAATTCTCTGTTTCAGCCTCCTAAATAGCTAGAATTACAAGAGCTGCTGATACCTAGCTTTGCTCAGTTTTCTGCCCTTTGTCAACAGAATGCAAAGCTGTGAGAAAATTACTCCATGGTGTTAGTACATTCAGTTTAGAACGACTGTTTGACATCTCCATGTCAAATTTTCCAGGTGGAAATGTGCAAAACATATATAAAAACACAAGTCTAGGGTTAGGAGAGAGAAGATAACTGAGGCTGAGTAAGACTTGGCAGAATCTAACCAAGAGCAGATGATGTTTAAGGTTAGAACCAAAGTATTCAGGTCATTGGGGGAGCTTACATGTGTTTGGATATCACTTTCTTCATGAAATTCAGATAAAGTAGTGGCTTCAGCTTCAGGCAAGTGAGTTGTGCTACTCTGATTCTTTTTCTTTTTCTTTTTTTGTCAGTCCTGGGGCTCAAACTCAGGGCCTGGGCACTGTCCCTGCACCTCTGTGTTCAAGCTAGCACTGTACCATTTGAGCCATAACACCAGTTCCAGATTTCTCTGAATAGTTTATTGGAGATAAGGGTCTCACGGGGACTTTTCTTTTTTTTTTGGGGGGGGGGTCCGGTTGTGGGGCCTGAACTCTGGGCCTGGGCACTGTCCTTCAGCTCTTCAGCTCGAGGCTAGCGCTCTACCACTTGAGCCACAGCGCCACTCCCGGCTTCTTTTTGCTTATGTGGTGCTGAGGAATCGAACCCAGGGCCTCAGGCACGCAAGGCAAGCGCTTTACCACTGAGCCACCTTCCCAGCCCCTCACGGGGACTTTTCTGTCTTTGAACCACAATCCTCAGATCTCAGCCTCCTGAGTAGCTAGAAGTACAGGCATGAGCCACTGGTGCCCAGCTCTAATTGAAACTTTAATTTTGAGCCGGGCGCTGGTGGCTCACGCCTGTAATCCTAGCTACTCAGGAGGCTGAGATCTGAGGATCATAGTTCAAAGCCAGCCCGGGCATGTAGCTCAAGTGGTAGAGCACTCTCCTTGAGCTGAAGAGCTGAGGGACAGCGCCTAGGCCCAGAGTTCAAGCCCCATGACCAACAACAACAAAAAAAATTAATTTCGAGCTGGTCACTGGTAGCTCATGCCTTTAATCCTAGCTACTCAAGAGGCTGAGATATAAGGATTGTGGTTAAAAGCCAGCTAGGACAGGAAAGTCTGTGAGACTCTTATCTACAATAAACTACTCAGAAAAAGTTGAAGAACATTGTGGCTCAAGTGGTGTAGTAGAGCACTAGCCTTGATCAAAAGCAGCTCAGGGACCGCACTCAGGCCCAGAGATCAAGCTCTAGAATGAGAAAAAAATAAAATGTAAAAACAAACAAAAACCCCTAAAATTTTAGTTTTGTCCTGTGACCTAAACCCTTGATTCTTCCATCTTGTAGAGTAGACCACAAACTTCAAGCTTTAGAAGTACAGTTCAAAGAATTGGACATCACCAAGGATAATCTGACACAGAAATTTGAACATCACAGCAAGACTTTGGCAAGTCAAGCAGCTCAAGATGAGATGTGGGCATCTGTTTTGAACCTCAAGTGAGTACCAATGAAGAATCAGTGGGATTCGGTGGCTTTGTGAGAGCTTTCAGTAGTCATTCCAAAATTCAGTTTAATATGACCTCATTCCCTTACATTCATTCATTCAGAAAATATTAATTTTTTGCCAGTCCCGGGGCTTGAACTCAGGGCACAGGCACTGTTCCTTAGCTTCTTTTGCTCAAGGCTAGCACACTACCACTTGAGCCACAGCACCACTTCTGGCGTTTTCTGTTTATATGGTACTGAGGAATTGAACCCAGGGCTTCATGCATGCTAGACAAACACTCTACTACTAAGCCATATTTCCAGTCCTAGAAAGTATTAATTTGAGCACCTGTTTATATGCTAGGTCCCGCAGTAAACATCTCATTATATAGCCTGTTACTTGCCAGAGTTTCACTAAGAGAAATGGATAATAAAACTTTTTTGTCATTGAAGAACTGGTAGTATGGGTGACTTGAAAACTCAGCTATCTACCTTAGTGCAAGTGTTATTTCAAAAGCAAGAATTGCCAGGCGCTGGTGGCTCTCACCTATAATCCTAGGTAAACAGAAGACTGAGATCTGAAGATCGCAGTTCAAAGCCAGACCAGACAGGAAAGTCTGTGAGATTCTTATTGTCAATAAACAACTCAGAAAAAGCTGGAAATAGTGCTGTGGCTCAAGTGGTACAGTGCTAGCCTTGAGCAAAAGAAGCTCAGGGATAGCTTCCAGGCCATGAATACAAACTCCAGGACCAGTACAAAAAAAAAAGCAAGACATTTCTGAAATATAACAGCTGGAGCTGGACACCAGTGTCTCATGTTTTAATTCCTTAGTTACTCAGAAAGCTGAGACTTAGAGGATCACAGAAGCCTGTCTGGCAAAAAAAAAAGTCCAAGAGACTGTCTCCAACTAACCAGCCAAATGTAGGGGTAAAGGCATGGTTCAGATGATAGAGCACCATCTGTGAGCAACCAAGCTGAGTGAAAGCACAAGGCACTGATATCCACCTCCAGTACCAGCACAAAAATAAATAAATGAAAGACAACAGCTGGTTTTTCTATGGCATTTACAGATTGAGTTATCCCAGTCTAATGCAATTTATGTTTTTACTGAATGGGTTCTACTTAAGTTCTCTGCATTTTCTGTAGGTTCACTTCAATGGAATTGAACATTTTATACAGCTACGTTGTTGAAGTACTTACTTGCTTGCACACTCGAGTGTGTGAGAAGCTGCCAGATCTGGTGAGAGGTCTTCCTACCTTAACCTCTGTCCTTAGAAGAAAAGTCAAGAACAAGCGCATTAGAGTTGTGTGGGAATCTGTGCTGGAGGAGTGTGGGTTGCAAGAAGGAGATATCACAGCACTTTGTACCTTCTTTGTTGCACATGGTAGTAAGGCAGAATACTATGTTGCTAAAGTGAGACAGATGTACATCAGAGATATCACATTCATGATCACTAATATGGTAAAAAACCAGGCTTTGCAGGATGGCTTGTTGAGGGCTGTTCAGGTCATTGAGAAAGGCAAAGCAGTGAGAACCCCTGAAGAGCAAAAGTCATCCCTGAAAGAGTTGATACCAACAATCAAGAAATAATTTGGGGCTGGGAAGTTGGCTCAGTGGTAGAGTGCTTGCCTTGCATGCTTGAGGCCCTGGGTTCAATTCCTCAGCACCACATAAGCAAAAAGAAAAAAGCCGGAAGTGGCGCTGTGGCTCAAGTGGTACAGCGCTAGCCTTGAGCTGAAGAGCTGAGGGACAGCACCCAGGCCCAGAGTTCAGGCCCCACGACTGAACCCCCCCCCAAAAAAAGAAAAGAAATAATCTTCTACCTACTGACTCTGTGATTCCACTTCTAGTAATTGACCTTGAAAATGGCACAACATTACACATGGTTTCTTTTTGCACATTTATTTTCACACTGAAAAAGAGAGTATTAGCAAAATTAGGACAATTTGATACAATTAATATATTTTTTTGTAGCCATACAAAAGAATGAAGATGCTACGCTAGAAACTAGTAGCTCACTCAAGCTTGTAATACTGGCTTCTTGGGAGGTTGAAATCTGAGGATCCCTATCCAAAGTTAGCCAGGGTAGAAAACTCTGAAAGAATTTTACTTCCAATTAATAGGCAAAAAGCTGGAACTGGAGATTGGCTCAAGTTATAGAGTGCTAGCTTTGTGTGAAAAAGCCAAGTGAGAGCACAAGACCTAGAGTTCAAGGCACAGTACCAGTATACACAAAAAGTTAAGGCCAAGGCCAGGTGCCGGTGGCTCACGCCTGTAATCCTAGCTACTCAGGAGGCTAAGATCTGAGCATCGGCAGGAAACTGTGAAACTCTTATCAAACCACTAGAAAACCAGAAGTGGTGCTGTGGCTTAAGCGGTAGAGCACTCGCCTTGAGCTGAAGAGCACAGGGAAAGCACCCAGACCCAGAGTTCAAGCCCCTCAACTAGAGTTAAAGCCAAAATGCATAAAATGTGACATATGCTCTTGTTAACTATAGAATTTTGATCTAGATTGAAACGATTATAAAGTGGTATATACTAGGGTATTTACAATACACCAACTAAACCCCCAGAATTGAGACAGTCATTAAGTTTACAGACTACAAGCTAAAGAAATGTATGTGGCAAGTTATCACAGGTCTGCAAGTTCTCTGACCAAAGCTAATAATTTCTCTGATATTTACCTCAGATATATTAAGTAATATTTAGTCCATTGGTTTGAACTAGTCTTGTACTAAACTCAACAGACAAAATCAAATGGACTTATTCATGCTGAAGATTCAGGCCATCAAATTCAAAGTAACCTTCCAAAATACTGAGACCATTAACAGTCAAATCTCCAACAGGCCAGTTTTAGCAAGCACCATAAGAAATCACTCCTTTACACCTCTAAGAACAGAAACTCTGAAACCCCCAGCCCACCGTTGTTTCTGCTTTCCTCAGCCATTGTCTTGTGTGTATAGCCAGTCTTTACTCACTTCCTCAGAACGTTCTATTTTATACAATTCTAGAGTTCTGAAATTGCAAATAAAAGCCATTAACTGAATCTATTGTAATTTCGTTTTTTGATACTAAGAAACTAAAAGAAATAAAAAAGGTAATCTGAAGATTACTAAAGGAAGAATTACAAAAAATTACTGTTCAGACTGATGGAGGGGGTGAGGTTGACCGGGATAGATTATTTGCATGTGGAAAAATACTACAATAAAACCTCCTTGTACAACTAATATATGCTAATGTTTTAAAAGTTACGACTCAGGTCTTTGTTAAGAGATTTTTTTTTTTTCTGCCTAGAGAGTAAGCAAGTTTCTGAAACCACAGGCGTGGAAAACTCCCAGGTAGCGCAGAGAAGTTGGGTACCTTTCAACTAGGCGGAGCTGGCGGCAGTGGTGTAGGGCGGGGCTGGAGGGGGCGGGGCGAAGCCAAACCTTCCAGGCCGGGAAACCCACTCAGGTTCCCGGAAGTCCCGCCCCACCGTCCTATCCGCCTCTGCCTTTGGACCATTCTTTGGGTAGGAAGTGCAGTTTTGGCGGGCAGTTGTGACGTCACAAGCGTTAGTCTCACAGCCCGGGCTGCAGCGCAGTCGGCTAGTGAAACCCGTGAGAGGGAAGGGGCGAGTCACGACTGGGGGGCCCGGGGAAACTGGGAGCGCCCCAAAGCTGGGACATGGGGCTCAGCCCCTCCCCCCCGGCAACGGTAGAACGGAAAGGCCTGCTGTAGCTGTAGCCTGCGGTCCGGTCCGAAGTGGCGGCGTTCTCGAAGCGGCGGCCTAAGGGCCCGTGTGAGGAGGAGCGGAGCTCGCCGCGGACTCGTGTGTGGGCTCACGAGAGTCCCCCGTCCGTCCCGTGCTGCTGTGGGGCTCCCGCCCAGGGGCAGACACGCTGCCTGACAGAAACGCATACTAATTGTCTCGCCTGACGCCCGTCATCGGAAAGCTCAGACTCACCTGGCCGGGCGATTGTGTTTACCTCACGCCCCCTGCGCCGCGCGGCCTCCAAACGCGGCTAACGCCCCTCGGGCCTCACCTCTCCTACGCTGAGGCCATAGTATTGAACCTCCAGGCAGTTCACCGGCTTTTCGGTAGCTGGTCGGAAACACGACTGTCTGTTTTTCAGCTGTTGATGTTGACGAGGCCTCCTTAGCTTGGTAAAAATGGCTGGATCCAAAGACGCTGTCCCTTCCCTGTTGGAATGCCAGTGCCAGATCTGTGTGGAAATCCTCATCGAGCCCGTGACCCTCCCTTGTAACCACACGCTGTGTCATTCATGCTTCCAGTCGACTGTGGAGAAGGCCAGTTTATGCTGTCCCTTCTGTCGCCGCCGGGTCTCTTCGTGGACGCGGTACCATGCCCGAAGAAATTCTCTAATCAATGTGGAACTCTGGGAGACGATTCAAAAACACTATCCGGAGGAGTGCAAACGTAGGATCTCTGGGCAAGAATCAGAGGAAATCGGTATGTAAAACCAGTCGTGTTTATTAGCTAAAATCACCGATTTTTTTTTTTTTGTAAAAAGTGAATCATGGGCTTTTTTTCTTTCTTGTGTCTTTTTTTTTTTTTTTACACTTGGAGCATTTGGATTTATGGGCCCCCAAAATGTGGATTAAGAGTCATTAAATTTTGGCTCATATGAGAACTGTTCAGCTGAGTTCGATTGCTCTTTATTGAGTTAAAAATGACGGAAAGGGAGGGAAAATTGCCCGTTTGTGGAGTCATCGAATGAAAAGCAAATATTAGGGCAGGTAAGGTGGCTCAGTGGTAGAGCGCTTGCCTTGCATGCCAGAGCCCTGGGTTCGATTCCTCAGCACCACATAAGCAAAAAGAAAAAAGCCAGAAGTGGCGCTGTGGCTCAAGTGGTAGAGCGCTAGCCTTGAGCTGAA